TTTGGATCGATCTTGTCTATGGCTTCTTCAATTCTGTCTTGCACAAGCGCGCTTACCTCCAATTGACCGAGCGGTACCAGACAAAGAACCGCCACTGGGTTGTAGGAACTGCAAATGTGGCCGAAGGCAAATCCCCGGCGATGTCGCCGCTGGTTGAAGCTTTGGAGAAGGCTTTGGAGCAACATTCTGCTTTTGCAGTGGGCAGCGTGGGAGATCAATTTCATTTGCAGCAGGCTGGGCCGAAGCCACCATTATCTACCATTCAAAACTACATAATGGTCCCATCCTCTTGAAGCAAGCGCCTCCATGCCCGTCCCTATAGAAATCCTCCAAAAGCAACCTCCCGTACTGGAACCTGCAATCGTTCCTCATAGTATCTCACGATCATGTACCATCGTCACAAATTAAATACATTATTCAAACTTTTGTACGGTTGCGGTTACATCTGCCCCTAATCTTTCCGTTCTTGTTGCTTCCACCTCGCTCTTCCCTTGTGCAGAACCTGAGGCCAGCACTGCCGCTGCTGCCCGCGAGAAATTGCGCCTATGTGAAGGTTATCTAACAGTGCACACTGATGAAGCAGGAGCTTGCCTTTGCCCTGCATTTGCCAATGGTGGCAGCACAGACCCATCACGCTTCATAGACTTGCAGCTTTTCCTGAATGCAGCCCATGGGGGCAGTTTCAGCTTTAGCACACAAATTGACCGCCAAAAAGTCCTGAAGCCGAAGCCTACCAACCCGGCAGCGCCCGTGCCGGAACCTGTCGGAATGACATTGAAGGAAACAAATGTACACTTCATTTTCTTGCAGCAGCAGATGTTCTTTGCAAATTGGTGGGCTTTGGTCGCAGCAAACAAACCCCTTGGCCTTGTTCAGCGATGTCTATTTTCTTTCGGCGCCCGTCTGAATGTAGGCAAGCAAACTTGGAATGCCTTCTCGCAGGACATCGCGATGCCCGTCATTGAGCGACTCTTTGCTGCTTTGATTCGCAGATTTGGTCCGCGTATGACTTCTGTGGAGCAAGCGGTCTTCCATACAACTGGGTGCCAACGTGCTGTTCTTGTGGAGTTAGAAGAGATTGGCCGTCTGTTTGCAAGAAAAGATTCTGTTTCTTCAGTGTTGCGAGAAGCTATGCCCAAAGCCATGTATTGGCTAGGCACAAGCATGATGACTAACCATCTTGTGCAGCATTTGTGGCCAGCTGCCTTAGGCGGTCCTTTACCTGATGATGTGCCCATGTATGTGAATGATGCTTGCTTCCTTGCGTCGGTGCAATTCATTCAGAAACGCTACCTCTATGGCCAGGCTGTTCTTGCAGTTTCAGCGAAGGAACAGATTTGGAACCCACGCAGCGACTCTCTCGATTCGTCAGATCTCTTGCCACTGTTGCTTCGCATTCTTCGTGGCGCGCCTGGTGCCTTCATCACTGCTGATCACATTTTTTGCGCAGACCTGGCGCTCAAACGCTCACTTGAAAGAGGTGGCGATGCTGGTGCGAAGCTTGCTGAATTGAAGATTGCAACCATTTGGCAGCACCTCAAAGACCTCGGTATTGGAGAAATTTGTGCCACTGGAGTTGCAGGCTACATGCAAAAGTATCACATCCAATCTTTGAGCCAGCGTTGTCTGACTTGGCTTCGAAATCACCGGGTTCCTCTATCCCATTTTGGATTGCGGACAACAGTCGACCACGATGCGTTTCTCGGAAGGTTCCCTGGCCATTCTGACATCAATGTTGCCTTTCCGCCTCGTGACCATCCACAGACACCCAACGCTGCAGCCGAGGAAGCCAAGACAGCAACAGATGTTTCTTCGGAGCCTCCTACAGCTGCCCTTCCGAAAACGAAACCGAGCGGTGGATTTGGGGACTCCCTTGCTGTCAAACAAAGACCTTCTGCATCATCTGCGGCACAGAGGCGAATGGAGTACATGCCGCGTCTCTGTCCGCATTGCTTGGCAGAATAAGCAACGAGTCCAAGCTGAAGCCCGGTGCTTAGAGAGTGCTGCGTGCCCGTGCCGCTGGCGCGCGCACTATATACTAGCTGCAGCTATCTACCAGCCAGGCACGCTCATTCTACAATGCAGTGGTGCTCATTCTGGACATGAGGCATGTCTTGCTGCTACTGGGAAAGTCTTTAATGCAAAACAGGAAACTCTGGCAGTGCAATTCTTTGATAAAGGTGGGCGCACTGGCAAAAACTTACGGGCTGCGCTGCTAGCTGGTGGCTGTGCTGAATCGTCTTTGCCCACCAACACGCAGCTCTCCAACTGGCTGAAGAACATGAGGAAACGCAGAAAGCCGGCTTTGGATTGCGACCTACACATCGTCGAAGCTGTTCAGTTGGAAGTCAACAAGCTACCCCAGAGCCCGCCCAAGCAATTAGATTCAATGTTTCTATTGGAACAGCCACTCATCAGCGATTCGGAAGTGTGCGTTCTCTTTGCGTGCCCGGGTATGCTGGAAGCCCTCGGCCGCTACGACGGTCCTGATGTTGCTCTTGCGGTCGACACCAAGATGAAAGTACTTGACCGGGGTATGGGCGTGGCTACTTTGAGCTTGCTTGTGAAAGACGCTTTGCGACCAACCCATTTGCCGAGAGGCCCTGGTGGTTGTCGCACCCAAAGCCGCGCTTGGACTTCACATGGACTGCCCATAGTGCAAGCCGTGTTTCACGCCGAAACAAAGCCGAACTATATCCGCCTTTTCCAGAAGATCTGTGACCTATGGGCTTCTCGACAACCACGCCGCTCGCCGCTCCAAGAACAACTAACGCTCCAAATTCACAAAGATTTCCACCCCAGCACTGAGGAAGCTCGACTGCAAGTGCTACCGCTCTCGCGAGCGTGTGATGATTTTTTCCACCTGAAGCAAAAATCTTTGACTACTATGCAAGCCAAATGCAAGCAAGTGATTCATCGCAAAGGAAAATACATCAAAAAGAACCTCGGGTTTGCTTTGGATACACTTGAGATTCTGCGGCTGGTGCCTACCTTGCCTCTCTTTAGCTGGCTGTGGAAAGCTTTCCTAGCCACGCTCGGTAGCCTTGGCGAGCCAGAGTTAGCCAACTACCTCAAGAGTTACGAACGTGTTCTTCCGGCACAATTTGCTTGCCACATGTTGCCAGATGACATTGTCTACGTCAGCTTCTGGATTGGCTTTGACGGCATCATCTCCGGTTCTGGTAGCGGCAGCGAGCCCGCAGAAGCTTTGCATTCATCTTGGCAACGCGAGCTCAGTCAGCTCGGCGGGCGTGGCAACATCAACCATGGCTTGCAAGTCTTGCAGCAGCTCTACACGCAACATTGGAAAGATTGGTACAAATGGGGTGACTCTTCATCTTTGTCTTTTGCGCCAGTAAGTCGAGATCCGCAGCTCATCAATGGCACAGCTTTGGTTCGTGCTGGACGTACACCCGCTGCCCATTTGAACAAGTTGCCTCGTGATACCTTGTACATCCTGCACCCATGCGCCAATCTTTCTTGGGTCGCATTTGCAAGCGCTGCCAGAACATCCCCGCTGAACTGCAGCGTTGCGCGCAAAGTTCTCCATGTCCTTCTACACCCTGAAACCTTGACTGCGCACAGTTTGCCAGACCTCTTCGCTGCTGATGGAACCCTTTCCCTGGAGTCTTTGCGGTTCCATTTTGAAAGCATCGTGTATCTCAAAATCAAATCAACTTCGATACTATGTTCTTGCCTGGCAGCCGCCATGCATGCACAATGCGAACAGTCAACATTTCTTCGTAGTTGCAGCCTTCCCAACTTTTCGTCTCCGGCTTTGAATCTTTCGACAGTGCCAGCCAACAAGAAAGGTGGGCGAAAGAAAGCTTCCAACCTTCCCCCGCGCAAACGCCGCCGCGTTTCTTCCTGATGCCACAAACAAAACTTTCTTGCTGCCATGGAAAAAGGTGAGACATCAAACATTATCTAACGCAGCTCTTTCGTTTCTTTGGTCATTAAACGTTAAACTTTGCATTTTTCATACTGGCTGTGCTTTACCGATTCTGCTCGTCGATTCGACACTTCTGCGCAGTGCGTAGCCATACTGTACGATCTGTCACCGCTGCCAGGTCTTTCTCGCCTACCGCGTCGGGGCGGGGTGCGGCGCCCAACTAACTATACGCACGGTTTTTCTTCTCCCGTTAGCGCCCGCCTTGCCGTGGCGGAGAAGCTCAGTACCGCGCAACTGCGCGGGAAGCTAAGCGGCGCTTGTCGGCCTGCAGCTGCATCTGCTAGTGCTTGGTCTCTTGTATAGCTGTATGTCGCGATTGCCGGTTGCCATTGCCGGTCGTTGCAGCGGCTAGATGCCTCGGTGCTGCTGCTGCTGCTGGTGCCTGCTGCTGCTGCTGCTGCTGCGGCTGCTGCTGCTGCTGCTGTGCTCTGTTGCTGCTACCGCTGCGGCTGATGCCGGTGCTGCCGCCGCTGCTGCTGCATTACTGCTACCGCTGCCGCTGCTGCTGGTGCTGCTGCTGCTGCTGCTGTGACCGGTCCGCGTGCTGCCTTTGCTGCTGCGTTGCTGCTTGCAAGGCAACAACAGCTGTCGCAAAAAACACCCCTCACGGCTGCAAAAAACACCGCCGTCGCAAAAAACACCTCGAGACGTACGCTCCGACGAGTTGTGGGCTGACCACTGTTGCAAAAAACGCCGCTCACTGATGCAAAAAACACCGCCGTCGCAAAAAAACACCTCGAGACGTACGCTCCGACGATTTGTGGGCTGCCCACTGTCGCAAAAAACACCGCTCACTGACGCAAAAAACACCACCGTAGCAAACAACACCGTGCAGACGTCCACAAAAACACCGGTTCCGGGCTCACCGTGTGAAAAAACACCCGTGGAACTGTTGCAATAAACACCTTCCCCAGAGCTGTCGCAAAAAACCCTGAAACAAAGTACTGTCGCAGAAAACCCTGATTACTGACGCAATTTACCCGAAGCCCTCCACTTTCATGATAATTTCAAGCTTTCCTCTAGGGTCGTGTCCGTGGCATGGCGTAAGGCAGATGCCTTGAAGATCCCCAAGCTGAATGAGCTGATTGTGCCGTGGAGAAGGAGCATGGGGAGCGTGGCAGGTTGTAGACTGACGGTGAGAAACACTCCGCATCAAACTCAGAGAGGGTAGCTGATGATTTCGAGGTAGAGTCCATGATATCACAGCATTTTTAAGTAATGTACCGAATGTAACTAATCAGGTCAACGCCCTGATGGTAGCAAGAGCTTGTCAAACAAAGCGAATCAGAAAGCCTGCACCTTGAAACGGTGGCGAACAGCACCCTTTCTCTCCTGTCTTTTTGGAGACATACATCGAGACCAAGAGAAATCAACCACTAGACCCACTTCGCGAACGTGAGAAAGGATGACCAGACCGTGGTCGACCTGGGCCACCGCTGAGGCCTACCGCTGTTTGGAGTCCTTGTCCCGAAGCAGCGAAACACGTGGTGCCCACACCGCTGCAGAGCTGACGTTGATCCACCTGCTGCTGAGGATTTTGCACTTGGCCAACATCCCGAAGGACCGGCAAATTTCTAATCTCAGCCAGTGAGAGAAACACTCAGCCAGTGGTTTCCAGCGAGACAGAGAAGGACTTGGTTTTTTCCTGAGCTCGGCTATCCTTCAGTGACATCCGTCGATGACAGGAAGATGTGGAGAAGATTCGGGAACTGCAAGTGATCCCCACCGAGAGCGGGAAGCTTTGTCCCTGGGACAGAAGAAGACCTGAATAGCCTTTGCAAGACCCGATTCAAGATGCAGAAGAAAGGAGTAGTCAGTGTAAAGGGCAATTCGGAGGAGGGAAACGATTGATTTTGTTGTGTTTTCCATTGTCCGTCAATGTGAGAGTTTTGACCGCCTGTGAGGGACCTGGGCTCGGGTGGTGTAAAGCTATCCAAAATGGACGCGCGACCTGCAGACCAGGTTGCCCGCTCCCACACTATGTTTGGAGGATGATGTTTGTGGACTGAAACCAGGAAACCGATCCCTGCTTGGAGATCAGGTTCGGTCAAGCAAAAGATTTACATGGTTGATGAGAAGATGGCCGAGATGCTTCAAGGCGCCCTTTCAGCACTGCCAGTGCATCCAATGCCGCCAGCATAGGCAGTCGAAAACTCGAGCAAAGGACCCAAGGTTCACCAAAAGGGATGGACCTCAAAACACAATTCCTTTGCTGGTGGCAACAGGAAATCCAAACCCTCCAGGCAAACTGGTTCAAGTTGGTTGCATTCATTGGCTCAGAGAAACATCATTAAGTTCTTCTGGCGAAGTGGTTGGTGAACTCCCACAGATAGAGTCAAAGAGTTTTGCAGAAGTCATCCACTGGATCACGAACTATGCATCCGAGAGTTTTGAAGACCTTTCTTGCATTTGGTGTTTTCAAAGCGGCACGAAAGACAAAACATGGCAGGTTATGCAGAGGGCCTCAACCTGAAGTTTCAGCAGACCATGCATCCCGATGTTGGACATTTCCTCAAGCGGCTCGGGGTTCAGCAGACGGATGGTGCCAAGTTTCTGAACGAGTCTTGTCCATCCAAGTGGACCGCAGGGGGTTGCAGAGTGAGGAATGAGCATGTAGCAGTGGGAAAGTACGGAGGAGAGCCTTGTTGCAAGAACTCATGATTGACCAGTCCCTCCCCAAGTGGGTTTTCGGGGTACTCGTTGTAGTGATCCTCCACATCCTCAACTGTAGGAACTAAGGGTTTTGGTTGATTGCCGTGATTAATGCATTGTCCTTTTTCAGATGGGCTCCTGAGGTACGATGATTCGGCCATCCTTTTCACGCTTGTGGTTGGAAGTGGGAAATTTCTTTCGAGCTCATTGATCATTGTGTTTTTGTTCTACGTTGAATCATATAGGAAGCGTGTTTGTTAAATAAAACCGAAGCACGCTGTGCGGGAAAGCCTTGATGTGTTGTCAAGACTAGACGATTTCACGAGATGCTTCACAATGCATTTCACGATAAAAAAAGTCATCCAAAAAAAGCTTTTCTTAGAAGCCAGAAAGAACAGACATACGTCCCCACTGCTCACCAAAAGGTTTCGCCTTCCAATTTGCCCTTCACAGAGCTTCCACTCAACCTTGATTGAAGCCGCTTTCGGATGTCCAAAGGGCTATATCCCTGTGAGCACTCTTGACTCGAATCCCAAAGATCTTTGGCAAAGCCCTTCTTACCTTTTGAGTCTGGCTCGGGGGTATATCAAAGAGGGCTCCAGTGAACTTTCGAGACCCTCTGGCTCTGGCGGTGGAAGAAGTCGAACAGTTGTGCCCACCTGACGTCAAAGTCAGTTTCACAACTTTTGAGCAAGGCTTGGGTGACCAACCCACAGAGGATCTTTGTGGGAAAGTTGTTGCTAGAGCAAGAGGCGCTTCCAACTTGGGGAGTGCGTAAACATTCCGCTCCAGCCCAAACCACCTCTCGGATTATGTCCTGGACAGGAGATTCTGGTGCCGATCTTGACTGCCGAAGAGATCCCAGACTACGAGCAACTGATTTCCGCTACACAGAGGAGCCGCTACTGCTTGAGTTCTTTGAACCCGCAACCAAGAACGGAATTTCTTTGCCGTTTGCGAACCAAGATGTGGGTGGTGGTTGACAAACCGCAACCACCCAGAGCCTTGGCAGGGTGATTGGTTAACAGACGGTGATTGAGTGATTTCCCAAATTGTGATAATTGTGCTTGCTTCTTTGGTGGCTTAAACTTGCAAGAAAACCTGAATTCGATCCATTTCTTGAAGTATATAAGTCTCGGTCAGCTTCGTGTCTCCGATCGGCCATGCCTGCAGACTTTGTGATCCCAGGAAACATGTTGACGACTATGCAAGATCCCGTGCAACTGTGCGACACTGTGGTGCATGTTGTGTCTTTGCCACCTGGCATTCGCAGTTCTTGGAAAGGACCGCCCCGGTACAGCGTGTCCTGGCTCTACAAGCAGGACCGAGCGGCACCAAAGCTGTTTATGGCCGACAATCATTTTCGGGCTTGTGGTGTAACAGGACACACTTGGTAACTCTCTCATGTGCCTCCGGGCTTTCTACACAGCTGTGGTTGGTTGTTTCTGTGTCGCAGGATGATGACGGAGCCGGTGACAATCTGCCTTGGGAACAGTTTTGGGAAGAACTTGGATGCTGGCCAGTCATCAGTCTCCAAGTGCCCAAAGGACATGGCTGTTTGAGGTTGTTTGTGAAATATATTGAAAAATATTGAAAATCTAATGCGTATGAATATGAATGTATTGTATTTTGCACTTCAAACGTCCCAATGTCGTGGAAGAATGGTGTCATCGGAGGAATGCTTCAAACTCTTCATCATTGGCTCAAGTTTTCAAAGGCCAACGTTCTGGGCGCAGAGATAATTGTTCACCTAGATGTGTAGTTTGTGTGAATTTCTAGGTGGTAGTTCCTTGAGCACTTTTGACCCTTCGGTTGTGCGGTTCGTCCACCAGCTGTCCCGGTGACACTTCCTGCCCAAGCGGGCCCCTTGAGCTTCGAGCTTTCACTTGGCGACTGACGCCATGGACTAGGCACTTGTGGAAAAGCCAGCGGCTTTTGACTGTTTTGCATTGTTTTGTGCACGTCGTTCGGTGCTACTGGCCCTCACGAGTTGGTAGTGCGGAGCTGACGACCCAGGACCCTTTTGATGATGCCACGCTGGCCTTTCAGTGCTTGGGCCGGCCATCGAGGGCCTCCTCCCGACGCCGATGCAGATGCTCGCTATGCCCAGGACTACCCCCACCTCTTCGACCCCGAGCTCTTCGAGGAGGATGAAGGCGAGTACGATGGGCCGGATGACGCCCAAGGCTGGTGGCATGAGCCAGAGCCTGATGGACCTTCGAGGACTAGCGGCTCCGTTCGGACGTGCGTCATGCGCGGTTCCGGGCTGACCTCATGGGACGTTGTTGGTGAAGAAGCCCGGGTGTGCAATGTTTGCAAGACGAAGAACAACTTTGATGCCAGCCAACCATACAAGGAAGAGACACCAGCTGGCACATGGGTCTACATGCCTAACGGTCCTCCCGGTGACTATGGTGATGGATCTACGGCCTCGAGACCACATCGACGACGAGTTCGACGGTCTCGTAAGCATAGACACGCTCCTCCCAATGGCGATCCTCATGATGATCACCCCGAAGAAGGACAAGCAGAGTCGGAACGACTGACGGTCGACCCAGTGGTTGATGTGACGCCCCGGCCATCTCATGCCGGCGACCTATACCTCCAGGACAAGGAGATCGACCTCGTCGTGGACGACGTCCGGGCCGACAAGGCCCACGTGAGCCTGCGCCCGTGCCTGCGCGGTTGAAGCGGCTGCGCCACAGGATTCGTTGGAGAGACTGGCCACTCTCCTGGCCAATGCATTGCATGGTCAACGACACCATGTCAAGGACGCACCTCCATGGATTCCTGGAAGAGCGCATGTGGGACCTCAACGCAGGGTCAAGTTTCGAGGTGGAGCTCCACCAGCTCCACCGACCTGGAGCTACCAGGCGTCCGACATCCGCGCCTATGACAAGTTCGAGCGCAAGGTGAGGATATGGCAGCTCCAGGCAAAGCACTATATGACTGAGTCCGAGATCGGCGTCGCTTTGTTCAACTCCCTGAAGGGAGAGGCTGAGGCTGAACTGGAGTTCATGTCCATCGAGTCGCTCAGGTGTTGACAACATTTTGCTCCAACTCAAGCAGCGCACTCTCTACATCAAGCGGCAGTCGTTCCTTCATGACTATATGAAGCCATCGGAAGATGGCCCGACGAGAGCCTCAGAGGGTTCTGCAATCGCTACCGCAGGACGGAAGCCTCCCTCAAAGCGATTGGCATTGACATCGGCCTCACCTATGGCTCAGAGAGTCGCGGATCTCGACTCTCCGTTGAACAGCAGCGCATGGTGTTGGTTGGAACGGCTCAGGCCCTTGATTTTGAAAGTGTTCGTATTGCCCTGACTTTGCAGTACCCAGAGCACAAACCACCTCCTCCAGTTTCAGGCCGTGAAGCTTCGAGTGCACCCTTCCAGAATTAAGGGCTATGGCAAGAGTGGCAACCACACCTTCAACTACACCTTCTGGCGGGAAAAGGTGGCAAAGGGTTCTCCAAGGGCCCTCGCAAGGTGTTCCAGACTGAGACAGTTGAGCCTGAGGACACCAATGAAGAGCAGGTCGATGACCATGAGCTGCCCTCCATCCCTGAGGATGGCGAGATCGGCAACGTAGATGATTTCGACAACGATGACAATGAGCAGGACAACTCGCAAAATGATGCGGGGGAAGGTGAAGCTTTGGATGATCCGGCCACCGTGCTCACAGTGACAGCGCGCAAATGGGCCAATATGACTCAAGGCCGCAAATTTTCTGGCCAACCACGGCCGACAGTGGCAGAGCGCAAGAAGCGTTCAGTTTGCGCTGCGTGTGGAGAGCGTGGACACTGGGCCAATGACCCTGAGTGCAGTTTGGCGCAATCCACTTCTTCGTCATCCAGCACCCCGAAGGGGAAGAGCAAAGGCCAAAAAGGCCGTGACGATCGAGGATCCGGAGACGCAGCCAAAAAGGTCATGACGGTTCACCACAGCTCGGGATTTGACTCGACCGTGGAATACCTCCCACCAGATGCTTCACCACAAGTTCATTTTGCAGTGGTTTGTTCCTTGCCCTTCACGTGTCTTAGCACCACCTCCACCGAGGCGTTCGGCCACACGGTGTGATGGACACCGCATGCCAACGTTCACGCTGTGGTTGCACATGGTACGATGGTCACCACCAACTTCTTCGGGATCAGTTCATGTTGAAGATCATGGAAGAGTCCAGTCATGAGCGTTTATTGGTTCTGGAGCTCCCATCACCTCCACCAAGAAGATTTGGATCCCTGGGGCCATCGACAACCAGTGTTTGATTTTGGGTGCAAATGTTTTGGACGTTGACATCCCGTTTTTGTTGATTGACCTCACCAAGAACACGGTTCATTTCTCAAAGCGAGGACACCTGGCCATCAGCATTTGTGATTTTCCACCAAGGCCCAACCGTTTGACTGTTTGGGGAAAGATCTATGAGAAAGGTTTGAATGACCCAGAGGGTGCTACGGTTTTGCACTTGGAGCCTGTTCTTGACGATCGCGCTGCAGTTTTGCCACCCTGCCATGGAGGAGCACTACAACCAGACCGTGCGGCAGCGATGGAAGCACTTGCGCGCGCCATCTGGCGTGCCTCCGCGGCGCATCTCCGACAGGCAGTTCGCCTGGGATTGATGCCGCGTGTGGACTACATCAAGATCCTCAAGGACAAGGGCGACAAGGAGCAGACCGACCTCAAGCCGAAGGCCCGTGCAAAGGCCAAACCGAAGAGCAAGAGCGCCAGCAGGAGCACTCCCATCAGTGCCACCGAGCAGTTCCAGCATCAAGCCCAGGAACAATGCTCTCATCCGAGCTACAAGAGGCACGGAAACAGACACGGCAGCTTCGCGACCTGCACGGTGTGCCTGGCTCGATGGCGATGGGAAGGAACCGGATGGAAGTCGCATGGCGCCTCTTGCAAGTTATCACTGCCTCTACCATCTTTCTTGACGACGGTGGATGGTTCAATCCAACCACCAGGCTACCAGGCAGATCCCATCCTACCTCCTCCGGGCTTTGCCAATCCCATCCATCCCATTCAGATGGGTACGCAGCAGCTGACAACTGGACCTCTGAACGCAGGCATGCTTCCCATTCAGCCCAGGCAGACCACCTACATGCCCAAGGCCAAGTCAAGATCGAGGACTTCAGGACCAGTTCCGACGGCGGCACCTTCGAAGAGTGGCGTATAGTCAGGTCCAGAGCACCTTCCATGACCTCTTCGGCAGCCGGCCACATGAAGAGCGCAGGCGAGATGCCGGACTACGACCTCGAGAACATGGAGCTGAAGGGCTTTGCGGACGACTGGGACCAGATCAGTGTCTACAGCACCTGGCCGGAGGAAAGCGGAAACGAATGCTAGGAGATGTCAAGAAGATTTCAGCCCTCTGGACTTCGGAAGCGCTGACCTTGAATCAGCTTCCTCCAGAACGTGACAAGCCACATGTGATAGACGTCTTCGAGCTCTTCGCTGGTTCGGCGAAGGCAACTATGATGGCTAAGGACTTCAAGCTGAATGCACTGGAGCTGCTTTTGCTTTTGGGCTTTCCACGCACACTCTTTCTTCTCTATCATGAACGAGAACTGCAACTACTATGACCGGCTATGGGAGCTGGAGTTGCTGCGAGAAGAGATTTGCCCCCTCCTAAGTGGGCGTGTGAGAAATGTGAAGAACAACTTCGTGAAGGACGCTTCTTCCTCTTCGAGAACCCTGAGAAGAGCCGTATTTGGGAAGAAGAGTCAGTGCGATGGCTGGCTGACCAACCTGGAGTTGAGATTGTCCTCACCGACGGTGGCGCCTTGGGAGCAGTGGACCGAGATAACTACCCCATCATCAAGACCTATAAGTTCATGCTCAACAACGGCAAGATCGCACAAGCTCTTCGACGATGTCTTAGCGCCCAAGAACGGCAAGTTTGCAGACCCTTGGAGGGCATCCATGTCACTGAGTCACAGGTCTACCCTGACAACTTGGTAAAGGCCATCCTCTCGGCGCTCAAGAAGGAGGCCAAGACCTGGAGTCCTCATCGATTTGATGACCTGTATACAACGTCTACTTCGGACAGCCCGTGGAAGACCATGAACGCTGGCGAAAGATCCTGACTGACATCCAGAACACCTTCATTGGCAGCTCGGTGAGATCCCTTCTGGTTCAACCTGCTTCGACCCGCCTACGGCCTGGAGTCTTGGACACCTGACCTCGATGACATCCGCGCTCTCAAGAACGCGGAAAAGACACTTGCTGAAGGCCTGTGGTCAGACCAAAGAGGACCTGGCCCACCAGACGACGAGCCATTGGATCCTGACATCACACAGCAGGAGCACGACATACCAATCCAGGAAGACATTCCTGAACCAATTCCACTTCTAGGTCTACCTCAATCAACAGCCCTTTCACCTTTACCAGTACCTCCACGACATGAGCAACCAACGACAACAACACACACAGCAGTGTATTCACCCACATTCAACCAAACCATCAGGCAGAACATCCACCAACACTTTGATGGCGCAACATATGAACGCAACGTTCGAGCACGAACTGAACCACCTTCTGCATCACGCAAGTGCTTCACCTTTCCCACAGGCAGAAGCAGAAGCATGTGCACACCTTGAACATGCACGGCAGACAACAGCACAGGAAGACATACAAGCCTACATGAGACAACAACAGGCAAGCATGCATGCAGAACATGAGCTTCAACAGGCAGAACATCATGAAGTACCACCACTCACAGACATACCTTCCATGTCTACTGCGAATGAACCGCCACAAGCAGACACACAAGCAGCGGCAGCCGCAGAACAGACAGCAGCAAGCATCCACTCCGGCGGAACATCCCGCAGTCGGAGTGACAGAGGACATGAGGTGAGAACCACCTTTATTGTGCAAGATGCACCAACTGAGCCAAGGTACAACTCGTGAGAGATGGCTGGGATGGCAACCTGAACTATGTCTTTGCCTTCAAGAGCAAGGCCTTCCAGACTCTGGCTGCCAAGATGGAGGATGCTGAAGTGTCAAGCGAGTCCAGCGATGACGATGAGACACATGACACTCCTCCCTCCATCAAGCCCATGTCGCGCCAGGAGCGCAAAGCCTTGGACCGTGAGATCCCTTGGTGAACGATCATCGCCAGTCCAGCTGAGGTGGTAGCGCTCTATATGTTGCTGCAGACACCAAGGAGTACAACAGCTGGCTCAGTTGGAACTGCATTGAGCCTGTCAACGACATGGAGTACAAGATCATCATATCCACGCCCTGAATGCGCAAGAGACTGGTGCCTTCAAGAAACGCCTACCACGACAAGAATCGTGGCGCTGGGCCTGACATCAAGGCCAAATGCCGCACAGTGATCCTGGGATGCCTAGATCCTGACCTCCACATGCTCAACCGCAGCCCTACTCCTTCCAAGCTCGCCGAACTGGTGTTGCTACAGATAGCAACGGCCGGCCTTTCAGGACTTGTTGAGCTCACAGGTCTTCGATGGAGCCTCTGGAGCGGTGACGTCAGCACCGCACTCCTTCAAGGTGGCGCTCCTGCAGAGCGAGATCAGCCGATTTGGGTGAAGCCACCACAAGATGGAGTTCAGGCCTTAGCAAAGACATTTGCCCATGGCCTCTACAAGATCACCGGCTACCTATATGGTCTAGCCTCCGCTACCAGGACCTGGTGGCAGAATGTGCTGAAGACAACAACAGCACGCGGGTTTAAACACCGATATGATCGGTGCCTCCTGGTCAAGCGGGACGACAAAGGCTTGCTCCTTGCTGCAATGATCGTCCACGTCGATGATTTTTTGGTGACATTCAGGCAAGACTACGACATCTCCGAACTGGAGGGCATGTTCACTTGGGGTTCAAAGACCCTTCTTTCGGAAGACAATGTCATTATCTTCCGCGGCAAGGAGATCCGCATGGATAAGGTGGACGGTCACATGACCATCAGAGTGACCCAAGAAGCCTTCATCAATGAGATGGACGGTGGCAAGCTGGCTCATGGCAGGTTGACTGCAACGAGCCTCTCCGAGAACGAGCGCAAGGAGTTTCGTTCGGTTGCTGGCTCCCTTCAATGGCTTGGAGGACAAACACGCCCTGACCTGTGCTCGGCAGTCAGCTTGGCAAACAAGGCTTTGGAGACCCGGCCTGAGGGTTTGAAGACCCTCTTCGACTACATCTCCCCGGCGAAGAGCACGCCGCGGCTTGGCCCCCCTTCAACGGCGCCGGCGTGCTGATCGGCTAAGGAGACTCCTCTTGGGCAAATGCCCCTGGTGGAAAGAGTCAGATGGGCAGCTTGGTTCTTTTCAGCTCACCTCGCTGCTTTGAGCGCAAGACACATGTGAGCATCCTGGATTGGAAGAGCGCCCGATCCCCGAGGGTGACTAGGTCAACATTGGCCTCCGAGGCCAACGCAATGGACGAGACAGTGGATCGCTGCACCTATGCGAACCACTTCATCACTGACCTCCTCTATGGTGGCACCCTCAAAGGTCCTCATGACCATGGTCGAGCTCTTCGGCAACTCCAATGCACAGACTGCAAGAGTCTGTACGATGCCGTGGTGTCGAGCAACCCCTCCACCATGGAGAAGAGGACAATGATCAGCATCCGCAGCATCCAAGATTACATCTCGGATGATGACTGCAGCCCACTGACGTGATGTGGGCTGACGTCCTTGCAAAAGAGGACAAGCAGCTGCGCAGGGGATTCCAATCCTGGCTTTCGCACCCTTTTATGGCACTGGTGGACGAAAGAGAAAGTTACCAGTGTGAATTTCTAGGTGGCAGTTCCTTGAGCACTTTTGACCCTTCGGTTGCGCGGTTCGTCCACCAGCTGTCCCGGTGACACTTCCTGCCCAAGCGGGCCCCTTGAGCTTCGAGTTTTCACTTGGCGACTGACGCCATGGACTAGGCACTTGTGGAAAAGCCAGCGGCATTTGACTGTTTTGCCGCTTTGTTTTGCGCACGTCGTTCGGTGCTACTGGCCCTCACGAGAGTTTGGACATTGGAAGACCGTACCTTTGGTCAAACCAAAGACGACCAGCATGGTTTTTGTCACAAATTGAATCCTGTCGGATGGATGAATCCTGCAGGAGATGATCCAATGACGTACAGTGAAAGTCCGGATTTCTTGCAAATTCTTCAAGTGCTCGAGCATCTGCAGTCTACGCCTCCGATTGCACAGCAGGCAGCAGAGCAATTGGTGAGGTGGTTAAAGCCCTATGGCAAGTTCTATTCAAAGTACTTCCCAGAGAAGCCCACTCAGATACACCTTCCTCCAAGCTCCTTTGCAGTGGTTTTTGGCAACAGTCCCTGGATGCCCTCCTTGAAGAAGAACAGATTACTCACACTGAACGAAGGATGGATCAGCAGGTCATCCTCCGATGACAAGAAGAATAATGTCAACAACAAGCTTCTGAACACCACCTTGAAGACTTTGCGAAGAACTGGGAGTTTCTACCTTGGGTTTGGGATCGACCCACAGCACGAATCCTGGTGCGGACACTCAAATCGTTCACTGGAAGGCCTGTGGCGATTAGCCTTCAGCATGCCATTCAGTTCCTCATTTGGCTATTGAATATATGTGTTTTGTATGTTTGTTCGTGCACATCAGCTGCAGAAAATGTATACCCAAGAATTCTAGGCCTGGTGATTTTGCAAGTAAGGTTCTACGACGCCCTTGCCAAAGCGTTGAGCAAGGAACACATCAAGCCTGAGGCCGAAGAGGATGACCCTGTAGATGGAACAGAGGTTCGATTCTTCCTGCAGAACGAGCCTTGGCTCTTCCTACCTAGCAGGCGAAACAAGAAGGAAGCTTTCGACAACTACAACGACGCCTACGAAGGTGAGTTTCTTTTGGCTTCGAGTGTAGCTTTCAGGGACCCATCAGGCTTGTTTGGGTGCCATCATGTGACAGAGGAAATGATCAACCTAGCAGCAGAAGCCGTGAGGATGCAGACTGTTATCGGATACTACGCATACGATACATACAAACAACAAAGATACCCAGAGATGAGGACGATTTGCAATTTTTTCGAGCAATGGGGAGTCTCCGACAGAATTGGCTTGGATGCATATGTGGCTGTTTTGCGGCTGATCGATCACAATGTGAGAGCAATGGATCCAGACTATCTTTGGGAGGATGACCATGTGTATCACAAGGTCGTTTGCCGCATCATGGTTGCCTTGAAGACAGGTGCGCATGTGGTTAGGGAAGAGCTTGGCTAGGTGAAGTTGTACACCTTCCCACTCCGATGGTCAACAATCTTGTCCCAATGGTTGGAAATGGTCAGGGTGTTCGACTCAATCCCCGGCCGCCAAAATCCAGGTAGGCTTAAGTAGCTTTTCATTGGGTGTGGATCAAGACTCAACACCCTAAAGGTCAGCATTTGCTGAGTGGCAAACTGCTTTGGTCATGCCCAGACGCTCCAAACGGGTGTTGATCCCTTCAAAACCTAGGGATTTGACACCCCAGACCCCTCCATATATGAGGGTTCATGAGCGTTTGGGTGGTTTATTTGTCACAAGCTGCAAGTTTGCAGGTGACCAGCGGGTCGATAAATATAATGAGTACGAGGAGCAGGAGATGGGTGAGGACTGGCGGATCGACTGCGGCCCACTGTTTGTCGGCAAGTGGAGCACATTTTGTGCGGAGAGATGTGAGAAAGCTCTCCTTCAGAATTCCTGAGATTTCCCAAGACCAATTCAAACAAAGACAACTCAATATGGATGCACAGTCCAAAAAAGCAAAGGCGCTAGTGTCCTCCAACAAACTTTCCTTATTGCCACATTTGGGAACTCCAAACAACCCGGGATATCCCGGGATACTTGTCCAAAAGGATCATCCATTCTTTCGTACCGAAACAGAAACCTCCATTGTCCCAGTGTCGTGAAAGGCAGACCGGCCTAGCACCCCGCACGCTCCTTGTGATGTGCTTGGCACGGGTCCTTGTGTCATGTTGTCGAAACCTCTTGTTTGCTGGGAAACAGTTTCTTTTCTTGATAGTTTGGCCAATGCAGTTTGCTGGGCGTTGGTTGTTGGATATTTTAGACCAACGTTCTGGGAAGGACCAAGACGAGGCGAAGCAGAGCCCTTGGGCCCGGTTCATCACTGAAGCAAAGCAGCTTCGGATTGTTTGGACTGAGTCGAAGAAGTTTCGAGCACCTGTGACTTGTTTGCAAGTCTTTTGATGCACAAGTTGCGAGTTGGGAAGGTTTGCTTTAATTTCTCGGGGGGATCAGCACCTACAGTTACTTGCATTTAGTCATGTCTTTCGTACGCACCAAAGCCTGCATGACACACGCACACACACACACACACGGACACAGGTGGAGGTTGCCTATATTGCTGATGGCTCGGATTGGCTTCCTGAAGCTCAAGACTTTGTAACCAACGCGCATAAGGATACTGCTGATGGCTTCAAGCAACTGGGCCTTCAGGGTCCAAACCTTAGAATCGGAAGCTTTGCCTCGTGCGTATTGGATGTAGTGGAGAAGAGGGCTCTACAGTTTAGAGTAGAGTTTAGAGTGTGCTTGACAGCGGGATGCGTTGTTGCATCTCGATCGTATCCCTCGCTCGTAGAAAAGAAGGCTTGAATAGTTCATAAAAGTTCTGTAACGTAGTTCGGGAGCTTATTCTGTATCCCGCTGTGTGTTTGGGGTTCACGTACCCGTCGTTGAGGCTAGAAGCTATCATGCAACTAATACAACGCTATGTAGAGGAAAGGCATTTGGACTTCCAGTTGGGACACTTGGCACCCCGTCTAAGACTGGTCTGAAGCGACGCAACATCAGTTGGGCATTCTTCCAGAGTGCTCAGCTGCGGACGAACTGGAAAGCACCCTGGCACGTGCAATCTTTCTGGTGGCAGTCAGGCCCTCAGCAGCCTTGGGGCAACAGAAAAAAAGGTGAAGACAGGTGCTTGAAAGGCACAGCCTTGGAGCAACTATCACCGCTTGAAAGGCACAGTCATCCAGAAGGACCCTAGGAAAAGCAATGTAAAACACCTGCTGGGGATATGCTGTAGCCTGAGAGCATGTATATAACAGGCTTTTCCACTAGCAGCCATTCCAAATTCATCTTCACATAGTTTTGCTTGAAGTCTTCCAGGTCCGCTCTGGTTTCCTCCAGCACGGCAAGGAGTGGAAGGACTTGTCCAAGATTGCTTGGCACTTGGCAGCCGCCACCAAGTTCCTGGTGGTGCGCGGTCAGGACGACGCTCAGAGTAGGTTGCAGGCACACAGCGCGAGCATGCAGAGCGAGGAATGAGTGTTGGTCAGTTGGGCATGTAAATGTGTATCTTCGATGCCAATCTTTTGGCGGGCCTTTGTACTATAGACTCAGGTTGGCGAGCTTTCGGGGACTAGTTTGGGCAAGTTAGGCCATGTGACAAATCGGCATGTCTTGGAAGTCTTAAACTCCTGCAAGGATCATAGTTTCGTTGTCCCCACAGGACATGTCACTGACTCAGGAGACCTTCAGATCTGTCGGGATTACAAAGGTTCAGGTATCCCTTTTAATCTTTTTGGGATTCTGAAAACTAGACTTGGCTGTACGTCCCTGATAAGCAGATGAGGAACTTCTTGAGTGGCTGACACCCTTTCAGGTTCAACCTGTGGTGATGCGAACATTTGAGCCTGCAAATGCTCGTGTCGATGGAACTGCGGTTGTAACCTCGCCGGATCAGCATGTCGTTGCTTACATCAAGAAGCTAGCGACGCAAGAGCGATGCTTGCCAGGATACCTGCAGGGGAAGCTCGGCCAGTTTTTGTAGAGACCCACTGCTTGCTTTGGGCCATGAGATGTTAGAGGGATTTCTTTGACAGATTAACGGAATGTGCCCATTTGGTTGGGATCAAGAGTTTGCAGGTGTTTGCAGATTTGATATGATGGTGCTGAGGTATCAGGAGAAACGCCAACCAGCTCTTGCACTGTGTGCTTACAAGTCACCAACTGCTCTCAGACTGGAAGAGAAGAGCAAGCTGATCACAAAGTGGTTCTTTCGGGCACTGGCCCACTTCACCGAAGTGCCTGAGTCATCTCAACTGGCAAAGACGCTGAAGCAGGTGCAGGAAGAAGTGCAGAGAAGCCTGCATGCTGTCGCAGATTCTTTCAGGAATCAGCGGAAGCAATTGGCAGTGAATGCGAGTGATCATATCTCCAAGTTGGTGCAGGCAGGGGGGTCGCCAATACACGTTGCAGCTATATCCACTTGAAAGTACTCTTCGGACCTTGATGTGGGTTTCCCCTAAGTGACCGTTGATTCAGGGGCACTTCCGGGGTTCTTTTGCATTGCTGTCCAGCCGGGGTCCAGGATGCAGCGAAGCGAGCGAACAAGAAGAGCAGCGTGAAGAAGAATGAATGGACCTGGGATTTGGAGCGTGTCCCTGGGAGTGCTGTGAAGGAGTTTTTGGATGATTTTGTATATTGGCCCGCCGCAGGTTACCAGCCTAATAAAAATAAATGAGGTCACCCCCCGAACCTGTATTTGGGTGTTGTCCAGAATGTTTGTGTTTCTGGGTCGCTCCTAAACCCTCAAAAACGACGCTCATTGTCAAAGAAGCCAAGGCGTGTGAAGTGTGTGAAAACGGAGATCCAACGTAGCATTAAGTTGAATGAAAACGGTGGTGCGTCTAGCATTTAAAGACAACTGTAAAATGGCAGCTTGTTGAGTTCGTTTCTCCTGGCCCTCCCTGAATATGTTGAAGCCAGACCTGAGGGAGTCCAAAGGTCATCGGAAGACCCTGCATCCCTGAAATCTCTGCAAACTGGAAAGGCAACATACATACAAGTGTAGCTTCAAAAATCCGCTGTGATGACTTCACCAATTCCTCCATCTTCACCCCTGGGCAGCTCAAGCTGCACAACGAGGTCTTACAGATCGACTCGACTGATGCCTGGAGACGGCTCCTGGCCGGCCGTGAGTTGCACGACGAGGGGGAGGGCGCCGATCCCGCTGCGGGTCCCGCTGCAGCAGAGGGACTTGCAGAGGCGGAGGCTGAAGCGGCTGAAGTCGGTGAAATGGAGAGTGCACCAGCTGCTAGACATCGTGCCTGGGCAGCCTGGGCTGTGAGATGAAGGTCTTTGTGAGATGAAGTCTCTGGTGGGTGTAAGTGACCAGCATTGGAGATTGGAGATGCCATGTTAGGGTGTTGTAGACAGGTGTGCCAAAGAGAATCACACCAGCGAGTGAGTTCTCAGTTCAATCAGCACACCATGGCTACCTCATCCAGCAACCTCTCACCTTGTCCTTCGCCTTGTTCAAGATCCGAGGCGATACCCCAACTTCACAAAGAGGATGATGGAAAATCAACCTCAAGTCTTTGCTGTTGCAATGGGCGCTGTACAACTGTGTGAAGCAGCAATATGCACAGAATAATCACAGAGTATATCAAGAGTTCTACAGATTCTACACTATGCATCTCTTCCGGATTATTTGAGGGTGATATTTATATATATATATAATTATCCTGTGATTGTTGAGTGCATCAATTTGGAGAGATCCTTCATGATTTTGGGACCGATGTGTGTCCCCTGTTTTTATACCCCACTGCCAGCTCTGTCAGTGCTGAACCCATCAGGTGCGCAGCCTGTGGAGTCTGACAGTGAGGAAGACCTGGAACCGGGGGCATCTGCTTCTCTGGAGAAGTTCTGCCAAAGGCAGATCGAAACCAGGCTAAAACTGACTGACAGACA